AATCAGAAAGGTCATGGTTTTATGTTCGTAATACACCCATTATTAACTGTTGATAATATTTTTATGGGATCATCCTTCCCAAAATCACGAACTGGAAGACAAAATGCAGTTTCTTTTGTAAAGACCGAGCTATTCGTCAATACACTAAACTCTTTCGGTTCACATTCCATTTCTTACTAATATCAATTTCAATCATTCTTTAGACATATTTTTATTATATATCCATATCGATTCTATGATCTATTATTATATATATTAATCTGACATACCATACTATGATCTAATATTATAAGGCTGCAGCTCTGAGGCCATATGCTGGACCATATCTAAAAATGATTTGATATCACTTTAAACTTTAAAGTAATATGATTTCTTTATGTAATTCAATTTGCTTAGAACATAATGTATATTTGATCAGTACTCTCGTTATTTTTTGGCGATGTTAGTAAAATAATATAGTCCCCTGATTCTAATCTAATATTCCCCTGGAATGTTAGTTTCCAACTATCACGCGAATCGAGTGGTAATATGTATTTTGACATTTCATGTTATAGCATGTTTTAAATCTCAATTATGTTGAATAATATTGAGATGTATAGCGAATAATATTATGTTGAATAATATTGATTTAAATATATGAAGGACCCAATTGAGTTAAATATATGAAGGACCGAATAAATGGAAAAAAAGATGGACCCAATTGATTTAAAATCAGATATAAAGATTGAAGATGGTTCAGAAGTTCGTGTAAGGCCCATGTACATAAAGGATACAAACATCCAGCTACCCAACGTGACCCAAATTTAATATTAACTCAATCGTAAGAGTTTTCTCAGATTGGTAACCGCAAACAAGGTTAGTTCAACCGGTCATTTGAAACGGACGGTAGGAAAACAAAATTGCAAACGGACGATTGATAAAAAGTTCGTTTGTTAATTAATTATACTATTCAACTGCTAAAATGCTACCAATCAAGTTTATATATGAATTATTCTCTATTATCCAACCGCCTTCTCTAACTATTGTTTCTAACCGTCTTGTTTCAAACGATCTTGTGTTCAACCACTCAAAAATTTTTAACCGTTCGGTTCAAACGGTGTCACCAATCGAACCCTACATGTTTAGCACATCTACAACCACAACACTATTTCGATATTAAAATTACACTATAATAGTGTTTGTTTCTGTGCTATACAATAGACTTTTATATATACGAGTTTTAACTGAAATTTACTTCTTCTTCTTTTTTAATGTGGAGTATGCAACTCTAAACAAGGTTATACAGATATTCTTAACCATTAACCTTGTTTAATATGAGGAACTAATGTCAATAGACTATCCAGATTATAATTCTATAAGGAATCCATGAAGTGAATACAATTTCTCATTGATTATAATATCTAGTGCCTTGAATTATGATTGAGAACATACATTGTACACAACTAATCTCAAATCTAACAACACACCAAAAAAAGAAAAACTGGTCATGCCTAAGTTAATTACCAAAAATCTTTCAAGTAGAAATCTCATGCTCATAAGTGTCACAAAAACTGAAGAACAAACAGAAGAAAGATTGAATGCCTATAACTTGAATACTTGAGAAATCTAATGAAAAAGTTTTGTTTTAATAGTGCGTGAAATGTAAAGTGAGAGGGAGTATAGTGATACCAGTGGTTAAGATGATAGTGAAAAGAGAGTCGAGATGGTAGTGAGAAGAGAGTATTTGTCCTTCTATTTATTCGGATCAATAAACATTTGTAAGAACCTTAAGTTTATATTTCAAGCATTTGAGCTTGTGATGTGAGATGGAAGGTCCAAAATGAGCTCCAATGATTGTATAGACTTAGTAAAGGATACGGACATGCACCGCACAAATTTTGAGGGAAAAAGTTCCTCAAAAGTTTCACCCCTATTGGAGTAATACCGGTTTCACAACAACCGGAACATTAGAAGACTTACTGATTCTCAGCCTCATGATCAGAATGTGACAGAAGTACTCACTTC